AGAGTCCCTGCTTTGCCCTACATTAAAATTTGGTTTATTTTATAAGAAACTAAAGAATAAGATGGCCTTGAAGTTGTATTTGTGGGTTTTGTAGTGGTTAGGTAGTTCTCAGAAGAGGATACTGGAAAGTAAGAGACTTGCTGATGTCATTTTTAATTCACCACCAGCACCCAAAAAAAATAGCTGAGAGAGATGTTGGTGGCCCTATATAAGGTGCACCTCACCTCCTGCGGAGCACATCAAGAATCACAGCAAAGGTAAGGGTTGCAGCCTTTGTGCCTCTCCCACTTTGCCTTGCCCGCTCTCCCTGATGCTAACACTACTCTCTCTCATCAGTGCTGAGTGCTGTAGCTGCAACCTGCTGGGACAGACGACTTTGGATCGTGAGCCATGGCCTCCCTGCACACCTTGACCAAGAGCTTCTCAGGATGGGTCATCTTCTGCTGCTGTTGCTGTCTCCCTCTTCTTCTCACCAGCCCTCTGCCTCCGAAAGGGGCAGGATTGGCTTCTACTGCCCATCACCCCTGCAGGCTCAGGAAGTTCAACTTCCAGCAGCCCTACATCAGGAATCGCACCTACACCTTGGCTAAAATGGTACAGTAACCCATGCGTCCTTCATGGTGGGATCTGAGGGTCTCCTCCTCTGCCTGTGCTCTGGCTTCTCACCTTCGGTATTCTTCTCTCTTTCTCATGCCTTTCTCCGGAAAAAAAACATGCATTTGCAGTAAGGCAGAGCCTGGGTGTGTGTAGCGGGTTGTGTAGCCAGGGAAAGCTGCTGCCTCTCCTCCTCCTGCTCCCCAAGAGAAAGGCAGCCCCTGGCACAGCACAGCTCCTTCTCTCGAGCGGCTGCTGCTGGACTGGGACAATTGTGAAACACAAGCTTAAATTTCTGTTTGCCCAGTCCATTTGGCGCTGGGCCTGCCTGTGACTCCAGCTATGGCCAGGCAGCTCCTCAGGCATCTTAGAGTGCTCTGCTTGGGCAGGTTTCTTGGCTGCTCTTACCACTGGTGGGTCGCCCCTGGTGTGCACCATTGAGCGCTGCAGCGCTGTGGGCTGCCGTGAGATCAGCCACCTGCGGCATCTGGTTTAGTCATCATAACCACTATGACATCTGACGTTTAAGAGGGGGACAGGAATCCAGATTTCTGCTTATTTATTTTCCAGTGATACTGACCTTGAATCTCACCCAGTGAAGGGGAGAAATAGACACAATGTCCAAGCTTATCTACCTGTAACCGGCTATCTATGGTGTCTATTCCCTCATGTCACCTGCACTATTATTGATGAAAACCTTAGGGTTTATTATTAATTTTTAGGCAAGGTTCCCATCCCCACCTGATATTTCCATTTTTCCCTCTCAGGCCAGGGTCTCGGACCAGGACACGGACAACAGGTTCATTGGGCAGCAGCTCTATGCTAACATCAAGGTAAGTCTTAACACCAGGAGGCTGCTCTTTGCATCCTTCTGCAGCACTAGTTGATCTCTTGCCATGATTTAACGTGACCTCTTACTTGCATACATAGGAAAACAACCGCTGCTACATGATGAAGAGGACTGTGGAGACTGTAGTGAAAGACGTCCTCCTCACCGAGGCCAAGGACCAGTACCCGTACGTTGAGGAGGTGGCACAGTTCTTGGCATCCCTGACCTCGGAGCTGAGCAGATGTGTGAGTAGTGTTGGGTTTCTTTCCCTTCTTCTGACTCTTGTCACTGCTCCTGAATCTTGGAATGCTGCAAACAGTGGCGAAAGGCAGTGATATGAAAAGAAAGCTCAGATCAAAAATATCAAACTTGAGGTAGATAGGAAGGTGTGAAAAATAAAAAAAGGCACATTGTTGCATAGAGCTGCCAATGTTAAGTTTGGATGTTTTCTTTCTTTTAGAAATTCTCAGGACACAAAGAGCACATTGAAAAGAACCTGGAAGAAATGAAGAGCAAAATGAAACAGGTACATTTTTTCCCACCATTTAAAAAGAGCAGTTCCAAACCCCAGTCATTGAGTTGGATTAAGGCTGACCTAATTATGAAGCAAACTCCGGAGATTATTTAGAAGGTGGAGCCTGCAGGGGCATTAAAGAGGGGATTAGTGATGTTTCCACTTCCAGCCCTCCTTCACTCATCCTGTTAACTCTGTGCATGTGTTATGGTAATTTAAAATTGTCCTTCAGAAATCAGGTTGCAGGTAACTGTATATACTAGATTGGATTTGAATGAGCTAGTTTATATCTTATGGTATAATAACTCTAATAGAATTACCTGAGAGAATAAGGAGAGTAAATTCTTGATTCAGTTTCTGTGACAAGCCTAATTTCAATTTTCTGAGAAACAACGAGATGTAAAACTGACATTTTGCTCTTTTCTAGTTGGGAGAGAATGGAAAGACTAAAGCCATTGGAGAACTGGATTTACTGTTTGACTACATAGAAAATGCCTGTACTGATGCCCCAAAGAAGGGAGGGAACAAGACAAAAAACTGAAAGAATTTCAGATCAGGCTTGAGGAGATATCTCCAAAAAACCCTTGCTATAACTCAAAGTGATTAACTATTGCGGACCGCTCTCCCCCACCCCAACAATGCAGTATATTTTTTACCTGTGCCAAAACCAGCAAACTAGGTGGGCACAGACAGGAAGCGTATTGCTGCCGCCTTTGAAAATGAAAACTCCAGGACAGTGTTTGCAGCTCCATTTCAACATGGGGCATTAATTATTTTCAAAGGCACGGTCCTGTCTTCCTCATCTCCATTGGAATAAGGCAACTGCTTCTGTATTTTATAAGGCTGATTTGACACCTGTGAATCAGCTTTGGTCAAGGTAGGCAGTGATACGTAGCCAGGATGTTTTGAGCCTTTTACTTGGAAATCTCTCTTGCATATGTTGCCCCCTTCTGACTTTTACCTGAAAAGCTGGTATTTCAGACTGATTCAGAAATTATTTTTGTCATTCATATTTAATGGTAACTTATTTTAAAGTAATAATTATAAAGTACTTTTATTTATATAGATTAATTGAAAAATATCCAAGAAAATGTATTTATGAAGCTGTACCAGAGGCTTATAGTGAGCTATGAAATTAAAAATGCTGTGTGATATTTATATGCAAATGGATTGTTTTATAAATGCTTAGTCTTTAATTTATTATAATAAATATTTTGGTCCTCAAATATTGCCATTTACAGAGCTTTCCTCTTTTACTCAAATGCAAGGGAGATGACACATATTATGCCTGTGGGGCTGCTGGGCCAGTGACTGTATTCTTGTACCCAGAAAGGATGCAAGCTTGGTCTGGGGACATGCTTCTTCACCATAAGGCTCAAATTTCAACTTATCACAGGCCAGGGCTTAGCAGGGAGCGTGTGGGTCAGCCTTTCTTGTGGGGGGTGGTGGGAAAAATAACATCACACCTGTGAGTCATTGGTTTGGTTCATTGATTCTGCCTCAGTACGCCTATAGCCAAGATCCCGTCTTGAATAGCTGCTGGTGAAAAGTCCCAAATTGTCCCCCCTGGGTCAGGTGAGATGGAGACAAGCAGTCAGGCAGCAGCTGCTAACCAAAAACTCAGAGAGCTGTGTTCTCAGTGCCCCATAGACACGCTGAGCACAAACGGCACTCTGCAACACCAGGGGTTTGAGAGCACTTCAGAAGAGAAGTGCTTGGTGCCTGCTCTCAATGCAAGCTCCCAGACAGAAAAAACCCAAAGTCAATGAAGAGCAATCCATCATTATCACGTCCTTCAGCAATGTCCCCTGGGCAAAGACAGGAGTGACAGCCAGAGACATTGGTGGCTGGACCAAGGTTAAAGAGGTGAAAAGCATCCAAATAGTGAGAAAGCCAGAGGAAATATATAGTAGTAGATTGTCAGCAACTGGTGAAGACTTCTTGAGCAAGGCTTTACCATTTCTTCATCAGGGCAACAGACATCCTGTCCGCACCTAAAAAAAAACCCCAAAGTGTGTCCTCAAATAAAAGACTCAGGGTGGCAGTACAGGTGAGAAGGGTGAAGTTTTGCAAACACAGCATATCAGGGGCATTCATATGAAAAAATCTTGCTAAAAGGATATCTAGAAGACACCCCATGAATAGATACTGTAATATGGGAAAAATGTTGGCAGGAAATCTACCTTGATCTAGCTTCGTAGCTTCATCAATTAAATGCAAAGAGAAATTAAAGTTAGTCCAAAAACAGTCTCAACATGTCTTACATCAGCTGTTGAAGTTAGACAGCATTGAAGTGGGATTAAACTATCCCATCTTGCTCCTGAAACAAGGTGATTTCAAGATAAAAGCGTCTATCCATACCTAATTTGAACAACGTTTATGTGAACTGAAATTATAACACTTTCTTGCTGGAACTCACATACTGGACTGGCATATGATCCATCTGGGTGATGGATGCCTGTTACCCATCAAACTAGATACAATCAACATGGTTTATTTTGCTCCATACTCTCTTTTGCATCTCACAATATATGAATTACATGCCTGTTCACAGTCAAGGCAGAAGTGACTTCAACAGTGACAGCCAACCTGGATTTGGTACCACATTACAGTGTTAGGGGTTTAACCTTTTGCTATATTCAGTAGGATATTTATTTTCTTTCTTGTGGCATAAGCAATGATGTTGTCAAGAGCTGTTGGCCAACATCCTTTCTCTTACCACTTGAGCTTGTGACAGCTGACAGCAAAGGGAGGGAAGTTAAGCACCAAATGGGGAGTTCATCTCACTGACATTTGACAGACACAGCCTATCCCCAAAATACATGAGGCTCCCTTTATAGTCAACGGAGGGTAATAGGAATTATCCAGGTGTCATTCATCTCAACTACATTAGAGGTTTATAAAGATTGTGCCTTTGGACAGAATAACGTAACTTTACCCTAAAAGTACCTGTTTTCTTCCTTGATTATAAATAGCGACTAGACCATGAACCACACATGCTGTTCCTCATTGATATTGTCTGTTCACAAACGGATTAATTTATTTCCTTCTTCTATTTCCTTTAGGCCTCTTCTACATTGTTCTTGTTGAGCTGCCCTACCCAGAAATGTCAAATCAATCTCTCAAGCTTTCCACACTGGGACTAAACCCAGATGAAAACCCATTTGTCCACAAAAATGTAAAAATGAAGTCAACTGTTTATTAACTTCTCCAACCCTGAAAACCACCAGCTGCAAGACTCTACCATGGAAACCTCATGAGCTGGAGCCCTGGAAATGCTGCACAGCAAATCTTGCAGAATTTCCTTCATAGGTTTTCTTGCAGGGCATGTGTGACTTGTGGGTGTGTTGAAGGATGGTCAGTTTTGAACAGACAAAGGAAGTAGAAGTTGGAGGAGGTTTCCCTTACAACCAGTGTGTCCTGGTTTCAGCTGGGTTAGAGTTAGTTTTCTTCCTAGTAGCTAGCATAGTGCTGTGGTTTGGAGTTAGTAGGAGAATAATGTTGATAACACACTGATGTTTTAGTTGTTGCTGAGCAGTGCTTACACTAGTCAAGGATGTTCTCAGCTTCCCATGCTTTGCCAGGTGCACAAGATGCTGGGAGGGGGCACAGCCAGGACAGCTGACCCGAACTGGCCAAAGGGCTATTCCATACCATACGACATCATGCTCAGTACATAAACTGGGGTGAGTTGGCCGGGGGGCAGCAATTGCTGCTTGGGGACTGGCTGGGCATCGGTCAGCAGGTGGTGAGTGGTTGCATCACTTGTTTTTCCTGGGTTTTGTTCCTGTTTTTGTTGTTTTCCTTTTCACTACAATGTTTTTATTATTTTTTATTATTATTATCATTATCATCATTATTAATTTTTATTTTATTTCAATTATTAAACTGTTCTTATCTCAACCCATGAGTTTTCTTACTTTTGCCCTTCCAATTCTCTCCCCCATCCCACTGGGGGAGGGAGGGTCAGCGAGCAGCTGTGTGGTGCTTCTTTGCCAGCTGGGGTTAAACCATGACACAGAGGAAAAGTCTTGGACAAACAATTACTGATCAAAAGAAAATAAAGATGTAGTCTCAGTCAGGTAAGCTGAGTTTCAATTCAGCCAGTAGTTACAGCTCAAAAAAGGAAAATCATGCTGAAATGTTTCGTTCTGACATTTTCTAAATAAAATACTTCAATTTTACGTTTCAAAATCGTGTTTTGGTTTAGAATTTTATGTACATTTTCTTTCAAACGTTGACAAGAGATTTGAAAGCAAAATGAGCTGTTTCATTTTGAGTTGGACAAGTGCTTTGGGCTGACCCAAAATGAATTTTTTGGTTTAATTTTTCGGTTGGGTCACCAAAGAGAAACTCCGTTGTTCACACAATTCTGATTTCCGTTGCCCTATTTTCCTTTCCTCAGCCTGCCTCTAAGTCATGGACTATTTGTAATTCCCAGAGGTTCTCAGCTGTTAGGGAAGGCACCTGCTCCACATCCTTCATTGAGAACACTTCCATTGTAGAGGTTGGAGGACCTCTTCCTGAGCAAAAATTGACAGAGCCACCTACTGCCAAATTTGCATTTTGTTGGCTCTTCCTCCCCTTCGCTTACATTAGATGATCAGAACAGGCACTCTTTTTGCTACATAGGTCATTATAAAACATTTAAACTACCTCTGAAACTTCACATTGTGAAGACAGAGGAACCCAAAGCATGAATAGAAGTTTCCACATCCTGCTGGGTAAGTATTGGTGACAGTTTAAGAAATGTCTCTTAAATACATTGCATGGAGTGTTACTCGGTTATGAGAGTTACGTAGTCAAGGTCTGAATATATATTCGTTAAGTGACCTAGAATAATAGAGGGTTGATATTTCCAATTTGCTGCTGGAGGTATATTCTAGACAATGCAAAGAGCTGAAGATATTCTGATGGTAAACCAGTGGCATGTGATTATGTCAGCCTGTGCTTTAAAGCACAATTAGCTAAACAGTTAGCTGCTTTGAAGAAGGTATGGACTGCACTGAACAACAGCAAATGCCTGATAACCTTTTCAGTCACAGCCATCATCAGTACCCAATGGGTGTTTGGAAAATTGGAGCAGAACTGGCCTGCTAATGTGAAGCAGGATTGGCAGAGACATTACAGTCAATCATCTCAGGCTTATGAATGATGCTGCCAGGAAGAAGGTAATGACCATAGAAAGAAGAAAAAACTACAATGCAGTTCTGTGGGACCCAGAGTATTTTTGGCAGTCTACTACCCAATGACATGTAACATAATATAACATATTTAGGACGGAAAGTAATGCAGCCTCTCAGGGGATCCAGACCAGGATTCTATGCTGTTCAAGAATTTGTTAGGAAGTCTTATTTGGGTGAAGTAAAATACAAAATACAAACTATGCTAAAGCTGATGGCATTGCTGGAGCTACACATGCTTCTTAACACATATCCATTTGTGACACCTTTTTCTTGGTTAACACGCAGCTGCAGACCTTATCAGATGAACTGTATGAATTTCACCACTAGCAAAAGTGTTAAACAACTATGTAAGTGA